CATTTCACCGAAACTCTTCAGTGCCACCCTCGAGAACATCATGCGACGACTGGAATGGGAAGGAATGGGAGTGAAGATAGATGGTCGGCAACTACACCACCTCCGCTTTGCTGATGACATTGTTTTAATAACACCAAACATCAGCCAAGCGGCACAAATGCTGGCCAACTTTGACTGTGAGTGTGGAAAGGTCGGACTACAGCTGAATCTTACAAAGACAATGTTTATGAGAAACAGCCTCGTTCCTGATGCCCCATTCGCTCTCAACTGAACAACCATCTCCGAATGCAACAGCTATGTGTACCTAGGTCGAGAAGTCAACATGACAAATAACCTGGCACCCGAGCTGCACAGGAGGAAGAGAGCAGCTTGGAAAGCCTTCAAGAGCATTGAAGAAATAGCTAAGAGGACAAAGAACCTCCGGCTCTGGGCACATCTCTTTGATTCCACTGTTCTTCCTGCATTAACATATGCCTCAGAGACCTGGGCCCTACGCAAACAGGATGAGAATGCTATTCGGGTCTCCCAAAGAGGAATTGAAAGAGCTATGCTTGGCATATCACGTTTCACTCAAATGACAGAAGGAATCCGGAGTTCCGACCTCCATCGATGATCAAGAATCAGGGACGCTGTCTCGTTTGCCAAGGGGTCAAAAATCAGATGGGCTGGTCACTTAATGAGATTTAGAGACGACTGCTAGACTAGAGCCATTACTGACTGGATTCCATGGGATATCAAAAGACCGCATGGCCGCCCACCTACCAGATGGTTAGACTTCTTTATCAAGGTCATGAACGATCGGTTTGAGGCTTTTCTTATTCCTAGAGCGAACAGACACCATTGGGCTACACTAGCACACGACAGGGACAAATGGAGACGTTACTGACGCCCACTCAAGCAAATCGATGATTAACAGGAAGTCAAGTGATCAAATGATCAAGCGAATTGATCCATTTGCAACTCAGTCAGTAATTTGTTGGTCCATGGGCACGGCAGAAAGTTTCCTGAGCTCAAAGTGACAGGATCTCAGGGGAGCAAGTCACTGTGTGTTTTGATAGCCCTGGATTAAAACACAGGCATTCACCTGCAGCCTGGCAGAGTGTCCCGTCAAATTCACCAGCTTCAGACTCACTAAGTACCTCCTGTTTCATTCCTGGTTGGAGGAAGAGGCAGGGATTGTTTTTTAGAAAAATTTCCTTTTCCTGGAGCTGGAGAGATAGAGCTGGCCCCTACCTTTCTTTAGCTTTTTGGGTAACATCCAGAGGGGCTCAGGGGTTCCTCCTGACTCTGCATTCAGGAATCACTCCTGGAGATCCTTGGGAGATCATGGGATGCCAAGGATCGAACCCAGGTTGACTGCATGCAAGGCAAATGCTTATCTGCTGTACTATCCTTCCAACCCTGATTTAAAAGAATTTTCTCAAAGTAATTGTCATCTTTTTCCCATGTGCAGAATAAAATCCCACGTTTTACTATGTACTTCTGTGGATTTAGGGAGGGGCTGGGTCACACCCAGAAGTGCTCAGGAGTTTCTCCTGAAGGTGCTCAGAGCACCACATGCAATGATGGGGATTTGAACCAGGGCCCACCATATGCCAGGCAACCACCATACTAGCTTTTCATTTTAAAAAATGTGAGAGGCAACCACCATACTAGTCTTTCATTAAAATATGTCATTGCAAAGAGGCTATGTAATAGTATTGCCCGGGCTGAATTATCTGCCCTTCTCCCCTTCCAATGCTTCCTATGTTGAATTCCTAACATCCAGCACTGTAGGATAACAGTATTTTGTCCTTCCTGCATAGCATCAAGTAGTTTAGGTCATTGGGTCGCTCCCATCACAGTGTTCCCATTCCTCTGTGTTTATTTGTAACTTCTTTCTTTGCGCTCTGTTGACTTGTAAATGTTGTTTTTCTCGTCTCCCTAAGTCCTTTGTGTAGTTTATTCAGAGCAGTGTCCTTTTTGTATGGATACAAGAAGACATGCTTTTGTAATGTGACTCTCAGTGATATTTTCTTCCTGGGCATCTGTTCTCTCACCTAAGTCTCAGCTGCACTTTCTTCCTACTGCCCCCCAAAGCAGGGTCCTGATGAGGGACTGCATGGAACCAGTGAAAGCGGTAAGCTATGTGCTACCCTGGCATCGAGATGGACTGACCAAAGCACCATAATGCTTAACTATAAGTTAAGAGCTTGGTCACGGACAAATGCTGTCATGATCCAAAAAGTATTAACTGGATTTGGACCCTGCTAGGGTTAGGAATGATTAATCTGGCCTGAGTGCTATAGTCTGAATCTGTGGCAAGATGTTCCCAGGAGAGCTGCTCTACAAGCCTCAATGTTATCTATTACTGTGTCCATACAAAGATAACTAGTATTAAGATGTTGATAGAATTATAGGACTGAGGAAAGGAGAAAAATGCCTTAAAAGGTATTTTGCCTGGGGCAGTCAGGAAGGACTTTGGAATATCCTAGGTGTTGTGCCTTTTGAACTTGGTGAGCCCTCAGGAAGGGCTATCTTACATTGATTTGGCTACCTGAATGGGTGCAGTGTCAGCCTGGAGAGATAAGAGAGTTGGAGAGAGAGGGAGAGGGGAGACATGAGTGAATGAAGAGAGGATTGGAATAAACTGCAACTAAGGCCAACCAATCTGTCTCTCGTCTCTTCCTTCATCTGCCGTTGGCCAACCCGATCCAGGGCACTCACAGCAGCTCAAGAGCATTGAACACGGGCCGTGAGGTAGAACTATTTAGAGAGCCCACGAACACACAACCTTCAGTGTAGGATAACGTTGCAACAAGGAACTTAGGTTTATCGGTTACACCCGTCACAGTGCAACTGAGTCACTCCCATTTCTCTGTTTATCTGTAAACTCTTCTCTGGGCTCTCCTCCCCAACCAGTTAATCACCTTTTCTCCCTATCAAATTCTGTTAGCTTATAAGATCAGATCCTTCTAAGGACACTGAACTTGTATTGTAAATTATGTCTTTTTCATAGTTTACCTTAAAGCAATGTTCTTTCTCTATGGACACAGGAAGACAGTTAATACTATACTTTATAATTTGGGAGTTGATAGACTCCGAATAATATTTACTCCTGGGCATCTGCTTTCTTGACTCAGTTGCCCTTAGTTCCTAGCATCCCAAAAGCAGGGTCCCAATGAGGGACTGAATGGACTGAGGACAAGCTGTGAGCTACCAAGGCATCAACATGGGCTAGGCCAAAGCACCACGATACTCAACTATAAGTTGAGGGCATGATCATGGACAAATGCTGTCATGATCCAAAACAAGTAAGGATGAGACTAGGACCCTGCTGTGGCTAGAAAGACTAACCTGGCCTGAGGACTGCGGAATATATAGTGAGATGTTCTCAGGAAGAACCAAATTGTACGTTTATATCTCTTATAGCTCATTTTCTAGTTTTTGGAGCACTGTCCATATTATTTTCCAGAAAGGCCAGACTTATACCCTTTTGCTTGCTCGCTCGCTCGCTTGCATGCTTGCTTCCTTCCTTGCTTTTGCTTGCTTTTGCTTGCTTGCTTTTGTTTGCTTGCTTTTCTTTATATGTATATATATATATATATATATATATTCTTTTTTATAAATGTTTTTAATGAATCACTGTGAGGTACAGGGACAAACTGACAAACTTTCGTCCCTCCCCCATCCCTCCCCATCCCTCCGTCTTCCTGCCATCCCTTGGTCCCTCCGTCCATCTCCATGGATTCCGACCAGGATCACGGGGTGCAAGCTGCCCATAGTTCACGTGTGGCACAGGTGCTTACTTAACTCCTGTTCTATTTTTTTTCTGCTATCTGCGCTGCCCCTCTGCCCTGAAAAATCTCTCAATGGAGTTGAGTATCCAGTGCGGTTTTTACCCATTCTCCACCACCAATATCCAGGCCCCGCTTTTCTCTTTTGTTCTGTTGGTGCTCAGGGTGAACTCTTTGGCTTGCTGGCTGGCTGGCTGGCTGGCTGGCTAGCTGGCTGAATGGATGGATGGCTTGCTATCTTGCTTGATTTTCTTGCCTGCTTGCTTGCTTTACTAATTTTTTTCGCAATTTTTTAAAATATTTTTTTAATGAATCACCGTGAGGTACAGGGACAGACTGACAAACTTTCGTGCTCATGTGTCTGTCATAGCATAAATCATGAGTACCCATCCCTCCACCAGTACCAATTTTCCACCATCAACATCCAGACCCTGCTTTTCTATTTTGTTCTGTCCATGCTCAGGGTGTACTCTTTTGCCTCCTTGATTGCTTGCTTTTGCGTGCTTGCTTGCTTTTTCTCTCTCACTTGCTTGTTTTCCATCTTCACACCCACCCGCCCACCCACCCCGCACCACCACCGCTTCACAGTGACCAATTCAGGAATGTTGAAGAGAAACGAGCGGGTGGTCCTGCACTGCACCACGCCACTCACTCGATGTAGGCGCCGCCACGCCACACTGCACAACGTCCTGCATTTAGCTTTTTGAGTGGCTACGACTAGGGTGTGCTCATTCCCAAGGGTTTCCGGTCGCCTGAGAGGGCCACGGTGCCGGTTTCTTGGTGGAAATCTCCACGAAGCTCCACCGGGGCAAACCGCTCCTTTCCGTGGACCCACCTCAGGACCCCGAAACCAACGAGATGATTTCCTAGAGCCGCTTCATGTCTCACACCACCCAGTGCAAAGGCCAAAGCATCTTCTTTGAGTCTGGGGAGGGAGGAGGGGAACGAATGCTTGCTCTCCAGCGAGCGGGTCGCGTCGCCTATTCCTCCGGTGAGGTTGGCCCCTGACAGAGGGGTCCTCCCCGGTCTTTTCGTCAAGTTCATTGGGCTTCAGTGGATCTTCTGAGCTCTCAGTGCCTTGTCCATCCAGTCCGCTCCCGCCACCCACCGAAGAGGAGGAGGAGGAGGAAGACACGGGAGAGCAGCATCTTCCAATGATCCACAGTCTCCCCCCCCACCCCCCGACCAGAGGATGGAACCCAGGCCTCTTCCCTCCCACCCGCAATGCGTCCACTCAGCCCGGGAAGCGAGCACTCTCTCTGGCTCTTGCGTCCCGACGTGAACAGGTGATGACCTAGAGGTTTGGAATCGCAGGGTGACTCGCAGAAAGTGGCATAGGAGCCATGACCCTGGGTCTCGCTGGGCCCCTAGATTGAATGCCTCCTCCACTTGACCATCACACCATCCCAGAGAAAACAGATCTTGATTTCAGGCAGTACACCTCTGTTGTGCTTTGTACTTCTGTCTCACCCAATAAGAGAGTACCCAAATCTGTTTTCAAACTAGTGGTTTGGAGGAGGGGAGGAGGAGAGAGCGAGAGCAAGAGTGAGCGAGAAGAGTGGGGGAGGAGGCAGGCGTTATCCCTGAGTTCAGTGCAGAGCCCAGGAGTCAGGAGTAATTCTAACACATGGCCGGGGAATGTCCACCCAAAACCATCCAAATCAAACAATCAAAAAAAGACTGCAATGAGTGGTGGCGGCTGGTGGTGCTGGAGAAGAGAGTGCGGTGGGGAGGGAGCCAGCCGGGCACACCACCTGAGCTGAGTTCAAGCCCTGGAGTTCCCATAGGATTCCCCGAGCTCTGCTGGGAGTACATCTGGAATGCATAGCCAGGGGTATGCCCAGAGTATGCCAGGGGTATGCGGGCTCTGGAGTGTGACCCCCAAACAGGCATGCAGAGGCCGAGAGGGAGATGGACACGTACACACGCACACAGACACAGAACGGAGAGGCAGGCAGGCCCGCGCGCTCAAACACACGGACTGAGTGTTGGGTGTGGTTTTAGTTTGTGGGGGTGGGGGATCGTCCTCCTTCCACGCCCACCACCCCCCCCAACGGCCCTGCCTGTTTCTTGAGGTGATGGAGGGGCGGTGTGACTTAGTTTCCCTCTACATCAGTCGCGCGGGGCGAGGTGGAGGGGTGGCAATCGCACTGAGGTTGTTCGGGCGCCACCTGGCGTCTGCTTTTATATGGTGTCGGAGGTCCTCTGGGGTCACGGCAGCGTTTAGGATGCACTGTCCAAGGTAGCGTTCCAGAACATCAGCATCCTAGTCGACATTGGTCCTGCTATCAGTCCTCCAGCCCAAGAGGTCCGACAGTGGATAGGCGCCTGAAGGAGGCCGTGTTGCCTTCACAGCCGGGTGCCATCGGGTTGGGCGGGTAGACCAGCGGGCAGTGAGCTCCAGGGTCCTTGTCGGCTTGGGGCGGGACCGATGGCCCAGCTGAGCAGGAGCGACTGGGCCCGTAGCCTGGCCCTTTGCCGGCAGGGGGTACATCGCTGCATGGTGGCGGGGTCCGGCCGTGAGCCCGTGGGGGCTCCTGGTCCCCAGCCCCGAGAAGGAAGAGGACTTAAATTTTTTTTCCCCAAGGTCTTTCCGGACTTCTGAATCTCTCCCCTTGCCTTCTGGAGCTGGCTCCGAAAAGGGATGTCAGCCGAGGGCCGCGGGCCCTTGGTCGCCGTGAGTCATGGGAGATGGCTCGCCGCTCCTCCCCAAGTCGGGGCATATGTGTCTCGGGGGATTCGGACGGGCAGGGAATAATCCATCTGCTTTCTTCTCGGGAATGCATCCGCTTTGACCTCTGGACCGCCCCACGAAGCCGGCCCGGCAGAGCCGGGTTCAATTCCTCCGCCTCTCTTGGAGAGCCCGGCAAGCTCCCCAGAGCATCTCGCCTGCAGGGCAAAGCCTAGCAAGCTACCCATGTCGTATTCCACATGCCAAACACACAACAAGACTCAAAATGGAGACGTTACTTGGCCCGCTCTTGCAAATCGATGAACAACGGGAGAACAGTGCAGTGCTAAAGCAAACGGGAATCACAAACTTATTCAGTGTGGCTTTTGACGTCCAATGTTCCATCCCCAATCCCTTCACCAGTGTTTCTGGACTCTTTCTCCTCCACCCCTCCCCCAGTCCAAACGTGTCATCTTGACAGGCACCTTGAAAATCTTGTTATGAACGTTTGAATCTTGGAATTTCAGTGTTATTAACTCTGTGATTTGAATATTTAGCTCTATCATTTTGTAACTACCACTGATGTACCTGAGTTCCCATTTCATCTCATCTATCTCTTCTCACACTTTCCTTCTTCCATTTCTATCATCTGGATCCAAGGGATTAGAGATCTGTCCTTTAAAACATTGCTTTTCTGGGGATGGAGCACTAGCATAGCGGGTAGAGCATTTGCCTTGCACGTGGCCGACCTGGATTCGATCCCTGGATTCGATTCGACCTACTATGGTCCTCCAAGTACTGCCAGGAGTAATTCCTGAGTGCAGAGCCAGGAATAACCCCTGAGCGTTGCTAGGTATGACCCAAAAAGCAAAAAAATATATAATAAAATAAAAAAAATAAAACATTGCTTTTCTTCATCCAGTTACCCGAAATCACTTGATCACTTGACTTCCCATTAATCATCGATTTGCTCAAGCGGGCGCCAGTAATGTCTGCATTTGTCCCTGTCACGTGTTAGTGTAGCCCAATGGCGTCTGTTCACTCTAGGAACATGAATAGCCTCATGATTGTTCAGGGTCTTGACAAAGAAGTCTGACCATCTTGTAGGTGGGCATCCACACGGTCTTTTGAAGTCCCGTGGAATCCAGGAGGTAACGGCTTTAGTCCAGCAGTCATCTCCAAATCTCATTATGTGTCCAGCCCATCTGATTTTCGATGCCTTGGCAAATGAGACAGCTTTCCTGATTCTTGACCATCGACGGAGGTCGGAACTCCGGATTCTTTATGTTACTTCAAAAGAGAGGTTAGAAAAAAAGAAACATGGCTGGAGAGAGTACAGAAGGAAGGGCACTTACCTCACGTTGATGCCTCTGTCTCCAGCTTGATCCCCGGAACCCCATTTGGCCCCTCCAGCACTGCCAGAAGTGATGCATGAGTACCACTGAATGTGGCCCAACAACAGCAAAATTTAAGAAATGTGAACTATCGTCTGAGCCACCAGCAAGGTTCTATCTCCCTGCTGGAGGATCTTGTACAAAATTGAATCTGCGAGTCACCCACGAAGGGAAGAGCCGTGAACGGGGTCATCTTGTCATATGCCACTTGGGGTTGAGATCGTCTCTGCAGCCAGATCGGTCAAGGCCCCCCAGAAGCGTCATGGTGCAGGGTGGAACAGGACATATTCTCCAGCACAACGACCTATGGGAGCCCCTTTGCTCCCCAAAGCACCAGCTATCCACGAAGGTTCCTGCAGCTGCAAGGAGAATGGTGCAAGCCTACTCCAGGGCTCTCTGGAGGCACCAGACCATCACCTTTGCCCATGTATCACAGGACAGGAGCAGCAGTCCAGTGCTCAGGTGTCATCTTGAGGGAGGTGATGAGGGACACCTCAAGTCACACCCAAGAGTCTGCAGTAGGCTCTCTACAAGGAGGGGTCCACTTTGGGGCCCCATCTGCCCCCACCACCTGAAGTATGCATGCCCCCGGTACTATCTGCAGTGTGCTCCCATCCCCATACTTTCTGCAGTGTGCATACCCGCCTCCACCCCCCCCACAATGTCCTTTCTACATGTCTTTACATGGTTCTGTTCCTTTGTCTCAGCTCCCTGGCCTGTTGGCCTCTGTCCCACTCTGTCCCTGGCCATGCACTGCTCAAAGCACATTCCCTGGAAGGAGCCCAGTCCCACTGAGCCTCCCTTCAGCTTGTTACTAATTTCCAGTTAACTGTTAATTAACAATATCAACAATATTGTTAATACAGTAATACAACATAGTATGATAATGCAATGATTATACAATATATACATTGTATGCATAAATATATACACATGCATACCTTACATACATTCTACACATATACAATGTCACTGTCCTCTTCAATTTGCTCGAGCGGGCCCAGTAACATTGTGAGACTTGGTGTTACTGTGTTTGGCGTATCGAATATGTCACGGGGAGCTTGCCAGGCTTTGCCTTGACAGCGAGATACTCTCGGTAGCTTGCCGGGCTCTCCGAGAGGGGCAGAGGAATTGAACTCAGGTCGGCCACATGCAAGGAAAATGCCCTCCCCGCTCTGCTATCGCTCCAACCCTATATACAATGTACATTGTATATTATATACAGTAATACAACATAATATAAGAATACAGAATTATTAATGCAATAATATTGTTAGTCTCAGTATTATAACAATATTAATAACAACATTGACTGCAGTTTCCTGGGTTCTGGAAGGACTGAAACACAGGTTTAGAATAAGAGAGCAAGGGTATTAAAAGTAACCCCTGGGGACCTTAGCACGACCTCCTTCAGCAGTCCCCACCCACAAGTGCTTCAGTGGTTCCCAGGCTCCCACACTGTCTCTGTGTCCTCCTGGAGACCCAAAGCCAAACAAATATGTGTATAAGATTCTCCATCCAGAGCAGCTCGGACTGCCTGTGACTGAGTGTCACCAACTATTATGCACAGGCTCAGGAGATGTGTTTCACTGGCAAATGGGAGACAAACCTGATGTGAACACCCAGTAGGAAGGCCTTAGTCACTGAGACTGACGAGAACCACAAATACAGTCTGTGGTTGTTGCTTTAATTAAATGCAAAATATTCTACACGTCAGATGTCATGTGACCTGGAAATGTGGAAGGTGTCACGGGTTAGAAGAAACTGTCCAAGCTGGTCAATTATCCAGTAGGTGCCGAAAGTGCCGTTTTGAGAGTTCATGTGGGGTTTGGACCATCTGTGATGGTTCGTCTGTGCTTGTCCCTAAGGGTATGCCATTCATGAGCCTAGAAATCCTGGAAGGCAGAGGCCAGAGGGGACACGGCTTAGAGGTACTGCTAACCTGGATTCCCGGGCCCAGCCTGCATCTCAAGCCCCACTCCTGATTTATCTGTCCCAGATCTGGGGCTGAGGGTCACTCAGCTTCTCAGGGAGACCCTGGGTAGAGCAAGGTGTTTATTACAAAGTATCCAAGTGTCTCGTACATCTGGACAAGCAGTGTTGTGCGGCCTTGCCAACTCACATTTCCCTTTTCTCTCCTCGGCCTCCTGCTGGGACCACCCAGGGCCTACTTCCTGGACGGGTCAGTATTCTGTTGTTGTGTCTGCTGTGCTGTCTTACCCGGGAAATTCATGCCGAGGCCACCTAGATTGGATCAGTTTAGGAGCAAAAGTGGGCTGAGAGCAAGAGCCAAGAGGCAGGCGAGGGCCCCTGATCGTGGCTGTTTCCTACCAGGCAGAGCAGAGGCCCCTTCACGGAGCTAAGCGCTCTCTGGGAGCGTGTGTGTGAGCAGAGAGACTGGGCTGGCTCTCGGAGGAGTCTGGGCAGGTTGGGGCTATGTCAGGGCCCAGGGTCTGTGAGAACTGGGAGCTGTTTCCTCCCAGGGTACCTGCATATCTCTGTCCAAAACGCTGACCTCTGAGAGTCATGTTTTTCTCTCTTCTTAACTAGGTCTTTGCTCAAAGAAATAGGAGCTCTGGAGTCTCAGCAAATAAAGTGAGTGGTGTGTATCCTAGAGATGAGATTATACAAGGAATTCAAGAAGCCACTTCAGTGTTCCTGAGATACTTTAAGCTGTTCCCCGTCCTGAGTGCCTCCCTATCCTGAGGGTCTCCCCATCCAGGGACTCTCTGTCCTAAGGGTGTTTCCATCCCCAGGGTCTCTCTCTCCTGAGGGGTTCCCTGTCCCAAGGGTCTCCCCATCCTGAGGGTCTCTCCATCCCAAGGATCTCCCCATCCTCTGGGACTCCCCGTCGTTAGGGGCTCTTTCTTGAGATGCTCCCTGTCCTTTTTTTTTTATTCAAACATTTTATTTAACTTATATTTGCTTAGTTTTGTATTGGGTTAAGTATAAAGAACCACTTAATCAACTCATTAGATTGGTCAAGGCAAGACACGAAATACACAACGGGACTGAAAAAGCGGTTGGTCTTTTGTAGTTCTTGGTAATCACACACGCATACACACACATACACACAAATGGGTAGAGTACTCTGGATATAGGATTTTCCCCCATAAGCTTGTATAATGCACTGTTCACAATCTATATGGTATTTCTGAAGATCGTAAACTGGACATGACCAAATCAGAGATGTCTGATAGACTCTTATAAAGTATTTGGGAACTTCAATGATGCTCCTAAAAGGATTGATTTTAAACTATAAAAAGGAAAATTCGTACAAAAATTACAACAGATTTAAACAGACATCTTTTAAAGTGAAATTAATCGCAACTAAATATCCTACTTTATCAAATATGACTAAGAAAGAAAAGGTACAAGTAGTAATGTCACATTTTAAAAAAAACTATTAACTGAGTGGATTTGGAGAAGGGAGGAAAAAAAGCTATACAGTATTATTGCACTCCTCAAATGTGCAGAATCCCAGAATGCACCAGCACTGAACAACTGTCTTGCACTGATGTTTTCCAAGAGGTACAACGAGCCTGCCAGGAAGCATCCAGTCTGCACCAACAGGCTGTCCCCTAGGTCCTCGATCCTGGAGGAAGGGAATGGGGCCTCAACCCTGGGGAAGGCTGCTGGGCTGGAAGACTTGCATAGAGGCCTCCGGAAGCAGTTTCTTCCTCTCCTTCTGACCAGAGGACAGTTCTCTTCAGGGGACTCATTCTAGACCCTGGGATAATAGTCAGCTGTCCACTCCTCATTAGCCCCTATTGTGATGCCCCCCAATGGTTCTGTTTGAGAATTCCTCTAAAACACAGTGTGAAGACCCTAGAGACAGTCCCAGATGGAAACAGCAGAATCTGTCCCTTTCTCCATACATTCAGATCAAAGCGGCTCAGGTCTCAGCAGCTAGGACAGGGCCAACTACTACATCAGGATGTGGCAGACTTCTCAGAGCGTCTGGCAGTGAGATGGCCAGGAGCTATGTGCTCAGGGGTGACCAGTTGCGTGGTGGGATTAGCAGCTGGTGCAAAGATCTGAGAGGTGTTTCCTTGGGGACTCTGACTCCTAAGCCCACCCTGGTCTCCTGACCCCAGGACTGTCCGCTGTGTCCTGCTTTCAGATTAGACAGGCTTCTGTGAGAGATTATTCGCTATGCTCAACACTTTGATTTGACTTGAGCAGGCGTAAATAAGAAGACTTTTTTTTAACTTTTTGTGCCCATCTGATTTTGCTCAGGGGTTACTCCTGGCTCTGCATTCAGGAATTACTCCTGGCAGTGCACAGGGGACTGTGTGGGTGCCAGAGATTGAAGGTAGGTTGGCCATATACAATGCCCTTCCCGCTGTACTATTACTCCGGCCCCTCAGATTTGAAGACCTGGATTCAAATCCAAAGTTGCACTCAGCTTGAAGGCTATTTCTGATCCTGTGTATTTAGGACTCACAAGGAAGTGCGAGTGTGTCCCTTAGTCTGATCTGCTAAAATTTAAGTGACGAGAAAGTGCTATACGGACAAGGTTGACTTCTTCTCAAAACTCCTTGCTTCTCAAGTTCAGGGTGTGTGAGAAGTGTGGCCCCTGGTCCTGGTGACTGTGTTTTCTCTTTCAGTTTCAGGCTCTGACTCCCGAGCAGGTGGCATTCCGTGCTTTGCACAGGAAGCAGTATGTTGACACTCGGGGCCAAGTCCACGCGACTGGCTACGACTATGAATTCACCAATTCCTACTTCGGCAATTGAGAGCAAATCTTTTTTTGTTTTGTTTTGTTTTGTTCTGTGCAGTCTTCCTTGCATGTGTGATTTGGGTTCAATGGAGGGTGGCAGAAGGTTGGTGTGCGTTTCCTCAATTACCTTGGTGGCAATAACAAAAGCCCAAGTCCTGGTAAGACTGGAGTCAAGGAGGTTCTACCTTCTGGGTCTGGCTTTACCTTCTGGTTCTACATGTATTTATTATCTTGAGTTGACTATAGGAAAAATGTTGATATTTCCCTTAAAATATGATTTGGGTTTCTTGGGGAAGAGCTCTGTGAGCTATAATATATGCTTTGCATTCTGGAAACTAGATGTGATCTGGATGTGTTCTGCAGTGTTGCATAATTACCTGAGCATTGCCAACTGTATCCCCTGTAAAGACCCAAATACTTATCTATGAAGCACTTACTTTTTTTTAATAAACAAAAATAATTTTATTGCATATGAAGATTACAGAGTTTACCTGATCCATTTTAAGCATCAGTTAATGATTTCCTGTACCTATAAAACATATTTCCGTGAACATTCTTGGAACTAAATCTTTGAACCAATCTTTCATAATTTCCTTGGACAAATTTTGGGAAAAAATAAGAGCTGAAAATTTTAACTTTTTTTTTTTGCTTTTTGGGTCACACCTGGCTATGTACAGGGGTTACTCCTGGCTCTGCACTCAGGAGTTACTCCTGGCGGTACTCAGGGGACCATATGGGATGCTGGAAATCGAACCTGGGTCGGCCGCGTGCAAGGCAAACGTCCTACCCGCTGTGCTATCTCTCCAGCCCCTGAAAATTTTAACTTTTAAAGCTTTAGGTATTTCTTGCTTTGTGACACTTCTAAAATGAACATAACATTTCTTTCCCATTATTAATAACAGTGTCTGAGTGGGACTACATTCCCACTAACATTGCGAAGTGCTTACTTTTAAGGATTTCTTTTTGTGGGGAATTTGGATGAGATATTCCTGCTGAATTGGGTCCAAGTGGCTGAGAGCTTGGTGAGTCAGGCCAGGGCCAGCAGATGACCCTCAGGTATTTGGTCACCCAGAGTTTCTCTTGGGCTATGGGTCCCTCAACCATTAGACATTGAAGATAATCTTCAACGTGGTGGCAACACTTCTTCTGTGAAATGGAACCATGGAAAGGAACAGCACAAAGCTCTTGTTCTCTTCAAACTCGGCAGACATCAACACTGTGAGGTACTGGGTATGTAGCCCAGGGGCTTCCATGCATGAAGCACACACTGCAGCCTTTGAGCTAACTGCCCAGCCCACAGCTGCCTCAGCTCTGCTCGAGTACTCTGCCATCTACATTCCCATTAGGGCTGGGATGGGAGGGCTGGAGTGATAGCACAGCGGGTAGGGCGGTCGCCTTACAAGCGGCCAACATGGCCGACCCGAGTTCGATTCCTCCGCCCCTCTCGGAGAGCCCGGCAAGCTACCGAGAGTATTCGATATGCCAGACACAGTAACAACAAAGTCTCCAATGGAGAAGTTACTGGGCCCGCTCGAGCAAATCGACGATCAACGGGAGGGCCTTTACCTTACCTTTACCTTCTTTTAATTCAGGACCCTGATCAACTTGATTTTATTGTCGATCTTTGATTTTGTGTTTGATTTTCAAGTAATCACAGTGCTTGTCTGTGAGGGGCATCTTTCTAGTGAAAATGGACTGCTCCATTTCCTCTTGAAACAGACATTTAAACTCCCTGAGTGGCCACGTACTAAAAACAAAATATACGGAGACCCTGATTAGCAATGTATGTGTAGATTTCTTATCACTTGCTGGATAATATTGGTCAGTCCTTTCTCCTCCACCATGAGGAGCTTAGGTTTACTGAGTAACGCTCATCACAATGCTCCTGAAGTGCTCCCATTCATCCTTTTTTTAAATTTTTATTAGTGAAACACCATGAGGTACAGTTGTAGACTTACAAATTTTTGTGCTTGGGTTTCAGGTATACAATGATCAAGTACCCATCCTCCACCAGTGCCCATTTTTCACCATCATGAGTCCCAGTATCCCTCCCACCCCCCATCCCAGCCTGTCTCTGTGGCAGGGCATTCCCTTTTGTTCTCTCTCTCCTTCTGGGTGTTGTGGTTTGCAAAAGAGGCATTGAGTGGCAATTATGGTCTATAGTCTATGTATGGTCTATAGTCTATTTTCAGCATGCTTCTCCCATCCTAGGAAGATCCTCCCAACACCCTTTATTTGGTGCTCCCTTCTCTATCTGAGCTCCCTTTTCCCCTAGCATGTGTGGCTGGCCTCCAAGCCATGGAGCAAAATTCCTAGTACAAATCGCGGCCACTCTTGTGTGTTAGTCTCCTATTTTGTTACTTTATGTTCCCCAGATGAATGCAATCTTTCTATGTCTATCCCTCTCTTTCTGACTCATCTCGCTTAACATGATACTTTCCGTGTAGTACCACTTGTATGTAAATTTCATGACTTCATCTTTTCTAACAGCTACATATTACTCCATTCGCTCGCATTCATCCTTAACTTCTCCTTTGTGCTCTGCTTCCCCTGTCTGTTAACCGCTCATTTCTTCCAGTCATAACCTGTGACTTGTAAAGGCAGTCTGCAGAGATCTCTGGACTTTGTACTTGTAAATGAAGTACTGCTTTTCTCTTTCCTTTATGTCCCTTTTGTATAGACACAAGAAGACAAGTGATGCTATGCTCTTGTTACTTGAGAGTTCATTGACTCCAAATAATATTAACTCTGGGCACCCATCATATAAGCCTTCTGTTTTTATGGAAATTACATACCTATTGGGCGATTTAAATTTTGTGTAGAGGTTTTGCCACGACTAGCAGTGTTCGGGGACCTATAGGTCCACACCCAGGCTTGTAGTGCCAGGGATTGAACTGAATCAGGGTTGGGGCCATTCTTTTTCTTAACTGCTTTACTATCTCCCAGCCCCCTGATTTCTTTTGTTCAAGGGGAGCTTTTGTGCCAGACCCACGGGTGCTCTGTGCACCCTATGTAGTGCCAGTCATTGAGTGGAAGGCAAGCACGTAAACCCCTGTACTCTGTCCCTGGCCCTCTTTTTTGGGGGGTAGGAGGCATGAATATTTTTAAAGTAAACAAATAATTACAATGGATTCTGAGTACTTTATCAGATCTATCTGGAGTCAAATGTTAATCTATCAGTGACCCAGAAGTACAGTGATGTTCTCCTTTATAAAATGAGGAATTAATAAATACCAATAAGAATATTTTAGGGAAAAATTCATATCAAAGGAAATGCCAGAACTGTAATGGTGACTGCTGACTCTCTTCAGCTGCTCGAACCCGGACCCGGATGCAGCCAGAGGGATGGGAGGGGCAGCATGGAGCTGCTAAAGTGACCGCACGGGTCCAAAAGCACAAGGGCATCTCCGTTACTTTCAGAATCTTTGTGTCCAGATTTTGCTCTTGGAGACAGGAGTGATGATGCCATGTTCATTAAGTGGAACCCCTTCCGCAACCAGCCTGTGCTATAGTGCTGTGGAATACCATCCAATTTTGGACATAAGGCCCTTCCTCTCTTTCACCAGATCATTCCATTTGAGCAGACTTTCTTGGACCATGAGAAGGGGGATACTGAGAATTTTATATGTGCCTACCCCCAATGGATGATGTCACAAGGGAGGGGACCCCATGGACAAGCCACAGGTGACTCTCAGGTGCTCGTCTGGCCAGACCTCTTGTAGGATCTTCGCTCAGGAGTGTTGGTATGAGTCCCCCACTCGGGCCACACCTCGAAGGACCAGCGACTGAGACGGACATCTCCATTAGGCCGAAATGGTCGTCCACGAAATCACCTGTTAGAGCCCACCAGATCCTGTAGTGGGTGCCCTGGGACCGAATCAGTCACTCACCCAGACACTCATGATACAGACCAGAGTCTAGAAGATATCCCCAAAGCCTGAGCCAACTCTCAAAACCCAGAAAACCAGGAGTGCAGAAAAAATGGTGCACAAACCCCAGAAAATAGTGCTGCCTCTGGAACAACATCAGAGGCCTCAGTGGCACCTACATTCCTGTATTTCCTGTAGAGGCCCAGTGCCACCTCTGGAACTCCAATCAGAGGCTTCGGATGCAAATCCTCAAGCAGGGAGATCAGTCCTGGGGAACCCAACTCATCATTCAAGGCACACCCAGCAGCGTTTGGGGTTACTCCTGGCTCTCCACCCGGGAATCACTCCTGGCGGTGTGGGAACCTTGTGCCTACACCCCAATAAACGATGCCCCATGGCCCCCCGTGGGGTGACAGAGTAGAACCTGGCTCAGCCATGTGCATGGCAAACCCTATCCCCACTGTGCTGTCTCCTGGAGGTGTGGCCATGTTGGAGAACCGCCTGGGTTGTGGCCTCACTTCCCACCACAGCCTCACCACAGTGACTTGCTCACAGTAGCTAAGGCTTCTCCACTGTGGAGAGGGGGTCGCAGTCTTGTCCCCGCATTGCATATGAAAGTATGAAAGCACAGATCTCAAGAGGGAGATGCAGTGACACGTGTGCTCTGGCACCACCTAAGCGGAGCACCCTATGTGGTCAAGTTGGCTTTTAGAGATTTCTCAAGGGCTGCCCCATGCAAGTCCATTGCTAGGATTGTTGTGGGGGGGCGGGGGCAGAGTAAGATCTCACTAATGCGGGCCAGGCGTACTCAGGTGTGTCACTTTACATCTCACCCATGGAACAAGTGGCCAATCAGAGTAGGAATGGGAGGGCTGGAGGGTGGGCGACAGGAGCAGATAAAAGAGTCCCCAGACCCACTTCATTCTCCTCCCGGCTCTTGGACTTTCTCCCCTTGGGTGTCCAGGGTCAGGTAGGGCTCTGAGTCCCCAGGGCCTAGCTCGGGCAGGCTGCTTGGGCCCAGCTAGGGCCAGTGCAGGCAGGGCTGGCAGAGGTTCAGGTCAGGCTGGACTCCGACGTCCAGTAGCATAAGGAGGGGGACAAGGGAGTGCACGTGGCCATGTCTGGGGAGGAGGAGACTCTTGGTGCAGTTGGAGGCCCAGCGACAGACCCAAAGCATGGGGGTCACATGCGGCCTGAGACTGGGGGAAGGGCACAGGGCTAGAGAGCGAGGCGGGGTGTGACCTGCTCATACTACGGGCGGGCAGAGAGACCCGGAGGTCCCAGAGCCACCCGGACCCACTCCCTTTATTCTGCAATCAGGTCGGGGGGTAGGTCTGCTCGGCACTCTGGACTCCCTCCTGGCGGTGCTCGGAGAACCGAGGGGGTGTTGGCATCACACCTGGGTCACCCACATGCGAGGCGAGGCTCTGCCCAGGTCACCTCCCGGCTTTTCCAGTTTGTGTGGAGAAGCTGAAGTCCTGTTTCTCTGTGTTCACACTGCTTTCCGCCAGCTGGGGGTGGGGTCTCACTTGCAAGGGCCTCAGGGCTAGAGTCCAGTGTACCTCCTGGAGGTGGGCCCCATTCCCGCTGCCGGGGGCCAGGGGTCCCGGGGGCGTGGCCTCACCTTTGAGCCGCCAGTGGGCGTGGCCTCCCCGTGAGCCTTGTGAGGCACGGGAGCTGCCTGGGGGCGTGGCCTCACCTGTGACCTACTGGGGGTGTGGCCTCACCTTTGAGCCGCCAGTGGGCGTGGTCTCCCTAAGAGCCTCCTTGGGGCATGGCCACACCTCTGAGCCGCCAGTGGGCGTGGCCTCGCCTGTGGGCTTCTGGGGTTGTGGACACGGAAGCTCCACCTGGGGACGTGGTCCACTTGTGAGCCTCCTGAGGGCATAGCCTCGCCTGGAAGCTGCCTGGGGGAGCGGAGGGGGGAGGGGTGGGCACTCAGGGGGAGCAGCTGCTGCATGCCTGCGGGTCTCCTGCGGTTTTGGTCAGCCTTGGCGCCCCGTGGCCTGGGAGGCCCTGCCCCGTGTGGGTGTGTCCGGCGCATTCGGGTCACTGTGTATGTGTGTGTGTGCGTGTGTGTGTGTGTGTGTGGAACTTGTCTGCCAGCGCCTGGGGTTCTGAACCTTAGGTCCTTGGACACCTGCTCTGGGTGCCCCTGGGGACACCACAGCCGCTGAGCCGGGTGTGTGCTGCTGGAACACCATGAGGTACAGTTCAGGTGAGCCGGGTGGGTGCTGCTGGAACAGTAGCCGGTGCCGCTCAGGCCAGGCACTCGGGATGGGGCAGGTCGTGGCTGGGCCACCTGGGTGGGCTGGGCTTTGGGGCTGGAGCAGAGTCCCCCTCACACCCACCCCCCTTTCATCGCCCAGGGAGGCCCTGCCAGCCTCACCACTGCCTGGAGCTGTCCCTGACTTTTTTTTTAAAGATTTTTATTAGTGAAACACCATGAGGTACAGTTGTAGATTTACATATTTTTGTGCTTAGGTTTCAGTTATACAATGATCGAGTACCCATCCCTCCACCAGTGCCCATTCTCCACCACCACTGATATTGGAATCCCTCCTATCCCCGCCCCTGTCCCTCCCATCCCACCCTGCCTCTGTGGCAAGGCATTCCCCTTTTGATTATTTTCAATAAAGCTCTTCTTCTTAGTTTCTGAAGTTTTTACGTTTTGAATTATTTTTAAGTAAATTGAATAAATAGCCTTCTATTACCTGATTTTGAGTTACCCAATTAGTTGAAAGGGAGAGAGCACCAGGTATTTTGAGAATTTATTTTGCTAAGGCCTTCGTGATTGGCTATAACTATTTAACTTTCTTTTTTTTTCTTTTTGGGTCACACCCAGCGCTGCACAGGGGTTACTCCTGGCTCATGCACTCAGGAATTACTCCTGGCGGTGCTCGGGGTCCATATGGGTTGCTGGGACTGGAACCTGGGTTGGCCACATGCAAGGCAAATGCCCTACCTGCTGTGCTATCGCTCCAAGACTATTTAACTTTTTGTGTCCACGAAATCAGATGTAACAGGAGAATTGGATACAACCCACTCTGACAATAGAAGATCGAAAAACACTGAAGACACCACAAAAGACCCTCTTTCTCCTTTGGTTGTATTTGAAAATCTCATGAACAATGTGAATGATACAATATTGACGTTATTAGTGGAAAATTTAAGTGGTCTGTCCAGTGATGACTTTTATATAGAAATAATACAAGATTTTAAAGTTGCTGTGGTGACCTTTCAAAAACACTTAGGTAAGATCACTTCATTTGCAAGTTCTCTTTGTACCATACCTTGGGATTTTGTTTGAATGCATCAGAAAGTTTCACTCATTTAGCAGCTTATTTTTAAAAAACCTTCCAAATAGTGTAGTTGCTTTTTAATATTGAAGATAGAACGATTTAATTTTAGAACAAACTTATGCTGTGTTAATTGATTAATCTTTACTGTGTAAGTTGTGTAGATGTGTGTATGTGTGAGAGAGAGAATACATTCTGTGTGTATGAGAAAGAGAAAGATAGAATACATTCAAGCAGATATTAAAGTTATTTAAATGATTCTAACTGAATTACCACCATTTATTTATGTGCTATATACCTCTGGAAGAAGTAAATATTGATCTGTGCCACCAAATCACTTACTGGACAATAACAACAACAACAAAAAAACCCACTTATATAGGAAATAATATTGGGTAGTGCTGCTTTTGAACATACTAAAATGTAAATATCTTACAAACACACATGGGTTTTATATCTAGGATAGGAAAGATTATGTTTTCCATGGGAAACATAACACAATGTAATTACATTATATTTCTTTCCTCTAAGTTTTAGACACCATCTTGACCAAGAAAGTTGACCTCAGTAATGTGCAGCTTTCAGTGTTTCCATACTACACCTCTCTGGGCACAGCCTTGTATGGAAAGGAGAAGCCTCTGATTAAACTTCCAGCACCATGCAGAGAATCATTGGACCATCTCCTATGGAAGTTCTTGCAGAAAAATAATCACCTGATTAGGGAGATAAATGATGAAATGGCACGTTGTCACTGTGAGATAACTTGGTCCCAACTCAGTGGGAAAGTTACCATCAGACCTACAGTCACTTTGGCCAATCAGGGAAGGAAGAAAATCAAAACCTGGCAGCAAGATGCTTCTACAGCATTCTCTGACCTCAGGTCTAGATACAAGATCACCTCATTGAAGGTGGCCCCAATCATGTGGGACATCATAAAGAACAGTGTAAAAGATGATTTTCTTTCAATAGAGTTTGATTCACTTATGGAGCTTGTCACCTTGGTGGGGAGATCAGAGGATACAGAAAACATTGAGTCACATGTCAAAGAATTAATACAAAGCACCACTGAAAAAATTAAAAGAGCAGAGCAAAATCTGGAAGAAAAACTGACTATTTCTCTAGGGAAGTATTATCTGTTGCATGAAAGTAGGACATTGGAGCTTATCCGCACCAATTATCCAAAGATAGAGATTATTTATGATCATTCTGCTCAGCACATGTACTTCAAAGGACCCCAGGCAGATGTTTATAAAGTCAAGTGTGAAATACAGGAGAAGGTATACAGCATGCCTCAGAAAAACATTCCGGTTCCCCCTGAGATTTTCCAGTTTTTGCAACAGGTAAATTGTATAGATTTTTCCAGGTCTCTTTTTATAGCACAGAAAATTTTTGCATTGTATGAGCTACAGTCTACATCTGTTCTCTTAATCAGCTGTTCTTCTGAAGACCTACTAGAAGCTGAAAAGCAAATGATGAGTACCTTAAATTATAAGTGCATTAAGATTGAAGACAGGAAAGTTTTTCATAACAAGAAATGGAAAGAACTCATCAGCAGTTTGCAGGATTACAATTCCTCCTCCTCAAAATGTGTAATAATTCATGACCTAACTCCAGAAACCTCCGCCAAAGTCATCATAGCAGGCTGTGTAGGAGAAGTAAACCAAGTTCACACCTCACTGCTCGACTTCCTGAAAACACAAACAATAATCACAAAATTGTTTGAAGTCAAGTCTTCATTAGTTTTTTATTATTTAAAGTCAGAAAAGAAAGTATTTTGGCAATAGTTAAACATGAAAAATGTACAGGTACAATTTAATTCAAAAAGTTTCCCAAAGAGTATTTCATTAACTGGTCCCAAGTGCCAAGCTGGGGAGGGAATGAACCTTCTCAAGCATGCCAGGGATTCAGTCTGTGTTAGAAGTGTCCAGATTGACAAGCCAGGAGCCAGACAACTCTTCCAGGAAAAAGCTTGGTTTTATAAAAGTGAGGTGAAAAGGCTATTTGGTTGCTTTGTTGAACTTCAGAAGAATAAAGAAAGGGAGGAAGGTGGCAGTGATGGCCAGAAGTGCTACCTCAGGATGGACGTGTCCCCTGGGGTGTCACTGAGTGTGCAGAAAGGCGACCTAACCTGGTTTCCGGTGGAAGTGGTGGTCAATGCGGCCAGCGAGGATCTCAATCACCTCAAGGGCCTTGCAGCTGCTCTCTCCAAAGCCGCTGGCCCTGAGCTCCAACGTGACTGCGACCGGATAGTGAAGAGCCAGGGCAAGATCCTCCCCGGCTTTTTGGTGGACTCCAAAGCTGGAAACCTCCCGTATGACTACGTGATCCACGCAGTCGGACCCAGATGGGAGAAGGCTAAGGCCCAGAAGTGTGCATACGTGTTAATGAGAGCTGTGAAGGAAAGCCTGCGTTTGGCTGAAGAGCACAACTACTGGTCCATCGCCATCCCTGCTATTCGCCGTGGAGTCCTGAGCTTTCCCTTACCACAGAGTATGGAGGCCACTGTTTTGGCCATCATGGAGTACTTCCAATTTCACTCAGAACAACACAGCTTGAAGGAAATTTATCTTATAGATGCAGCTGAGAAAACCGTTAAAGCCTTTGCTGAAACCGTGGAAACTCAGTTTAAAGTGTTCTCACACTCACTTTGCCAACCGTCCACTTTCCAGAAAATAAATTCCTCAATGCCCACCTGGAAATCGACCTCTTTGGCCTCCAAGTAAACCCAAGCCTGCCTTTAACCCTGCCAATCATTCCAGCAAACAAAAAGAAGTATCCTTCAATTTTGGAAATGCTCTATTAAAGGACACCCTGCCCGGTACTGCTTCCCAGCCTCCTGTTCGAAGTGCTGGTCAAGCAGGATTGAGGAAAGATCATGGGAACAAACAAATTCTGTGGGTCCCAGGAGGCTTGAAGGTCCTGATGGTTAAAGGAGATGTACAGAGTGCAAAGGTGAGTGTTCCCAGCACTGAACACCTAGCAGGGTGCTGCAGCCTCAAACTCCACCCCACAGATAAGCAGTTTATTTATAATTTTCTTTAGAAAATTGGTGCCTCACTGAAGTGTTTACTAAGATAGGTCAATTTTCCGCAGTAACTGAAAGTGGGTACAGGTATTCACTATATAATCACATACACTTATATAATCACATATACAGACTATCTCATATACATGTTCATATACAGCTATATAGTTCAGAGACTTTGCCCACTTCAGTTCTCTTATTAGTTTAAAATTATTACTGTGATCACAAGTCCCCTATCAGATACACACTTTGGATAATTTCTTCCATTTGAAGGATCATCCCCCTTTTTGTTATTCAGTAGAAACTGTTTCAGCTGCTTTTTGCTTTAATTTAAATTTTTTATTTTAAAATTAAATAAAAGATTTTAAATTAGAGTTCTGCTTTGAGTAAGTTTGAATATAGTAAAAGAATAGTAACTCACTTGGCTTACCTCCCATATTCAGACATTATACTAAGTGCTTTGATCCACATTTTTACTTTTGATATCATGTGGTGGATCCTTTGTTTATTAATTTTATCATTTATGCTTGATGAAATAAGACTTAGAGTGGTTAAATAAATTGTGTACATCTCATAAGTCACAAGAGATTAAGCCTGTATTTGGACTTTTCAGACTTTTAACCACTGCATTTTTTTTCATTCTTTTTAAAAAACTTTTTAATTGAATCACTGTGAGATAGACCATTACAAAGATGTTCATGATTGGCTTTCAGTCACACAGTATTCCTGCACCTTCCCTCCACCAGTGTACATTTCCCAGCACCAGTGTCCCCACTTTCCCTCCCATCACCCACCCACCCCAACCCTTGCCTGCCTCTATGGCAGGTGCTTTTCTTCTCTCTCCTTTTGGGCATTGTCGTTTTGTGGTTTGCAATATTGATACTGAAAGGTTATCAAGAATATCCCTTACCTACTTTTAACCCTCAGATCTTGTCCAGCATGATCATTCCCAGCTATTATTGTCATACCTGTCCCTTCTCTATCTTATCTACCCTCAGCCCCACACAGACTTGTGGTTAGTTCCAACTACTGACCAGCCCTCCTAACCCCTGTTTTCCCTGGCCATGGATGTTATTCTTCCAATATATGTATATACATGTATATATACATATACATATATAAAATATCCCACAAATGAATGCAGTCATTCTATATCAGTCCCTCTCCTCCTGATTGTTTCACTCAGCATCATACTCTTCATGTCCGTCTATTTATAGGCAAATTTCATGACTTCATTTTTCCTGACAGCTGCATAGTATTTCATTGTGTAGATGTCCACTTCATTGTTTTAAAATAATTTTTGTCTTTGCAAAAGTATAAGCAGTACATCTTTTTTACCAATAGTTTGTAATTGGAACAATTTCTGTTCCTCGTCCTCCTTGAACCCTGAACTGAGAGGCATAGCTTCCTTTCCTTCTACTCCATCCATCTTTTTCTGATGTCACAGCACCTGCACCTCAGTACCTCTTGATAACTCATGCAGAGTTGTGGGTTGGTTTTGTGTGTGTGCGGGGCAGGATTCTGGGAAGGAGGGAGACTGGAAAGAGCAGGGTTCAGAGACACTTCCTAACTGAGTGCTCAGGGGTCACTCATGGCAGAGCTTGTGGGACCACATGTGGTGCTGGGCGTCAAACCAGAGTGATCAGTGTACAAGTCTGCAAGCCTTAACCTCTGTACTATCTCTCCATCCCATAGGTGCTTTGAAAAGTCACTTGTCTACATTCTTTTACCCTTTTTCTGTGGCTATTATTAACCTGCTCGCATTAGTGTTCTGCTGTAAAAACTTTTCAGAGCTCCTATCTATGTGGGACTCTTCCAGTGTCATGCCCGAGTTTCAGATCCCCAATCACAGAGAGACCCAGTTCCACACATGATAATGCAAAAGAAAAGGAACTTTATTATCAGCCCAAGCCAAGGCTAACTCGAGCTAGGCTTCATGTCTCATCCAACACAGTGGAGTCTTGACAAGGTCTCTGACTCCAAATCACAAGCAGTTTATATAGGATTCAGAGCTAAGAAGCAATTTACGTACTGGTCTATTTTTAGCATTGGCCCTATTACAATGGTGATCCGCAATTAGGCAATGGTTGGTAACAGTTTCTAAGGAGGGTGCAGTGACCCTTCATGACCGGCCAGACCTAACTGCCCAATTCCTTATCTTGGCAAATTACTCAATTGGGAATTTTACCAGCAACTGCAAGTCCTGCTTTGGGGAAACAGAAACTGAGGCCTAGCTGAGACTTAATGTTAGCTTCAGCTTGTTATGGTATCAGTTTTGCCCTCACACCAGTAGTTGGCTCAGTTGGATGCTAAATTTAGCTTGACTGGCACAATTTTGCACCAAAAGCTTTCTAAAGACCAAACTAATCTGCTTAGAGTTCACAAATTACTATACTGGTCTCATTCTGTCCCTTTTCCAAATGACTTCCCTATCTCTCTCTGCCTCTACAACTATATCTACTCAGTTTTTACCTGGCATGGTCTACACAAGTAATTGAAGGCAATTCCTGTGCACAAAATCACCATCACAAACTTAAATATTACTTTTATATTCTTTATTATCCTGGAAATATTACTATCTTTAATAAAATTTTGCTTAGAAATGCTATTTTAGGATCTGAAAACTAAACAATCCTTCCTACTTTTCCTTCCTCGCTAGTAATCCTTGGTGAACATTTTTTGTTAATGTTTGAAAACACATTGTTGTTTTTGTCTTTAAGACTGATGTTGTTGTCAATTCCATTTCCTCGGATCTTGAACTTAATCAAGGGCCTCTCTCTCGTGCCCTCTTGAAAAGTGCCGGGAAAGAACTTCAGAAGGAATTGAATAGAGCTGGAAAAACCATGACTGCGAATGTCGGCACAGTTCTTCAAACAGGTGGCTATAATCTGCCTTGCCCTTATGTGCTTCATGTGGTGGCTGCAAGTTGGACAAACGATAATTCACACAAGGTGGGTTCTGACTTGCCAGTCTCCTGAAATTTGGTTCGCCCTTGGACTCTCCTTTCATTCAGTGTAGATTAGATCTCATCTGTTATTTCTTCTATAAATATGTTGCTTTCTTAGTAGATTTCACCTTTATAGCCACTTCCTGCAGTTTTAACTTACTCATCTTGGAGACTAATTAAAAATATAGATGTATAAAGGTGTGATTTTGCTTTTTCAGATCATGGAAGGTATAATCAGAAAATGTTTGGAGATCACTGAGAACCTGTCCTTGAACTCAGTCACATTTCCAGCAATAGAAACAAGAAATTTGGGCTTTCCTAAAAATGTTTTTGCTGAGTTGATCCCGTCAGAAGTGGTCAAATTTAGTAGCAAGAAACAAACAACAACTTTACAAGAGGTCCACTTTCTGTTGCAACCAAGTGATCATGAAAATATTCAGGTACAAGTGAACCCAATTCTGGTAATTTTTTATAATTAAACCCTATTTTTAAATGTTTTATTGTCTAATACATTATTTCTCTTATGTATTTCCTATTCAGGAAAATTAAGAATTAACATATACCTGTGTAGGATCAAAAATTTCAAGTAAATTTTTATTTAACTCTGTAGCACTGTCTTCCCATTGTTCATCAAGTTGCTCATTAGATGTAGAAAAAAATTTACTTCCTATTAAGGAAACTTCAAATATATGCAAAAGTTTACTTTATAGCACTAAAAACTCACTTTACAAATTTTCACTCATCTTCAAAATTTAATTTCCAATTAATGTGTTTCATCTCAATTTATTTTCCCTATATTCTATAATATTATATATATAGAAAACCAGTACATTCATTCTACACGTGAGCATTTCAATGATTCACTTTAGATGAAAGAACTCTTTATTGTTTTTAGTTTATCTCATTTATTTACTTATTGATTTATTTTTTTTTATTAGTGAAACACCATGAGGTACAGAGGTAGACTTACAAGCTTTCGTGCTTGGATTTCAGTTATACCATATTCGAGTACCCATCCCTCCACCAGTGCCCATTCTCCACCACCAGTGATCCCAGTAACCCTCCCACCCCCACACCCCATCACCCCCTACCCCATGCCGCCTCTGTGGCAGGGCATTCCCTTTTGCTCTCTCTCTCCTTTACAGTGTTGTAGTTTGCAATAGAGGTATTAAGTGGCCATCCTGTTCCATCTATAGTCTACTTTCAGCACGCATCTCGCAACCTGAGCAAGTCCTGCAAACATCCTTTACTTGGTGTTCCCTTCTCTATCTGAGCTGCCTTTTCCCCCCAGCATGTGCTGCTGGCTTCCAAGCCATGGAGAAGACCTCCTGGTACTTATCTCAACTATTCTTGGGTGTCCAACTCCCATTCTGTTACTTTATAGTCCCCAGATGCGTGCAGTCTTTCTCTGTCTGACCCTCTCTTTCTGGCTTATTTCACTTAGCATGATACTTTCCATGTAGAACCACTTGTATGTAAATTTCATGACTTCATCTTTTCTAACAGGTGCATAGTATTCCATTGTGTAGATGTACCAGTTTCTTTAACCAGTCATCTGTTCTCGGGCACTCGAGTTTTTCCAAATTTTGGCTATTGTGAACAGTGCAGCAATGAACATAGAAGAGCAGATTCATTTCGATTTTACTTTTTTGCCTCTCGGGGATATATTCCCAGGAGTGGTATTGCTTGGTCAAATGGGAGCTCAACTTCTAATTTTTTAAGAATCATCCATACTGTTTTTCAAAAGGGCTGAACCAGTCTGCATTCCCACCAGCAGTGAAGAAGGGTCCCTTTCTCACCACATCCATGTCAACACCAGTTGCTTTTGTTCTTTTCGATGTGGCCAGTCTCTGTGGTGTGAGATGATATCTCATTGTTGTTTTGATTTGCATCTTCCTGATGATTAGTGATGTAGAGCATTTGTTCATGTGCCGTTTTGCCATTCATATTTCTTCTTTGAGAAAGTTTCTATTCATTTCATCACCCCATTTTTGATGGGGTTGGATGTTTTCTTCTTGTGGAGCTCAGCCAGTGCTTTGTATATCCTTGATATCAACCCCTTGTCGGATGGGTATTGGGCAAATATCAAAAGGATTTTTTTAAAAAAGTAATATAACAACAATATTTCATGCATAAAATATAAAATAATTTTTCTTTTTAATTACGAAGTCAATGTCTGTGTCTCATAATGTTTTATTTTGTATTTAAAGGGTTTTGAATCTAATGAAGTTCGTATACAGAATAAGGTTTACATATTTTTAATGCTATTTTTAATTAGATTAGAATTTAAAGGGTTGCATTCTATACAAATATTTTTGTATTGGGAGCCATACCTAGTAGTGCTCAGTCCTGACTCTACACTCAGGGATCACTGCTTGTGGTTCTTGTGCACCATCTGGGATGCCAGGGATGACCCCAGGTTGGCCTCGTGCAAGGCAAGCGCCCTATCCTATCCACTATACTTTCCTCCAGTCCCTCATACAAACATCTTAAAACAGAATTTATTTATTTATATATATTTTTAGTCACCATGAGATACAGATGTACAAAGCTGATCATGGTCAAGTTTCAGTCATACAGTATTCCAACACCCATCCTTCCACCAGTGTACATTTCCTACCACCAATGTCCCCAGTTTCCTTCCTGCCATCCTCATACCCAGCCTATCTCTAGGGCAGACACTTTCCTCTTTCTGTCTCTGTCTCTCTCTTCCCTCCTTCATTTGAGGGCATTATGGTTTGCAATACAGGTACTGAAAGGTTATCATGTTTGTTCCTTTACCTGTTTTTTGTATGCAATTCTTATCCAGAGTGATCATTTCCAACTATATTTGTCATGGTGGTCTCATCTCTATCCCAACCACCTTCTCCCTCAGCATTTGAGGTAGGCTTCCACCCATGCACCACTCTTCATGGCTCTTGTTTCTATCGTCCTTGGGCATTGATTTCATATTATGTGATTTTTTATGTCCCACAAATATGTTCAATCATTCTATGTCTATCCCTCTCCTCTGACTCAATTTACTCACCATAATATTCTCCATGTTCATCCATTTATAAGAAAATTTAATAACTTCATTTTTCCTAATAGCTACATAGTATTTCATTGTGTGTATGTACCATAGTTTCCTCTAACCAGTGATCTGTTCTCATGTACTCAGATATTTTCCTGATTCTGACTATTGTGAATAGTGGCTTAACTGAACATTTCTGCTGTGTTAACACAGAATTTAAATATACCATTGTGACCCTGTAACTGGGTCACAGTGGTGCATTTAAATTCTGTGTTAAATAAACAATTACAAGACCGGGTGGATATGCATGACAAAGTGGCCACAGTGAAGTCATACTCATACATGGGATTAGGAGTGCTGAGACCAGAAGACCAGAACCACCTTTAGTCATTGAGGACTCACCAGTCTGCTCACATTTGCTGGAGAGCAGCTATAAGAGAGTCACAAAACTAATCATTAAGGTAAAACAAGAATTAAAAATTCCTTTGATCCCAGTTCTCATACTTTAGAATAGGTGACATCAAATCTTTGAAAAATCAATGATAAGAAAGTAAACAGAGTAAAACCATCCATGTTAGAGATACCCATGGATCATTGGGCTACTTTAAACATTTGTTTATTTAGCAATTTTTCTTAAATCTAAACACTACCTTAAATTTTTTCATTTTAAAATTGTGTTTATTAAGGTGACATCAGCGAACAATGCTTATTTGTTTGGGAGGTACAGTGTTACCACACCACCCAACAACAGAATGACAGTATTCCTCCACAACTCTCCATGTATCTATGCCATTCACTCCCCACACTCTGTATAACTTCTGTTTTGTTATCAGACTCTGAGCATTTATTGTTGTTCGGCATTTTTAAATCTCTTGCTTGTTTCTTTATGTAACATACAGAATGTAGTTGTCTGTTTTTGTCTTTTTCCTTATGATTTTGCTTTAATTGATACCCTCTGGGTTCATCCAATATTTAGGAAAAAATCGACTTTTTTTAGTAATATTTCCATTATGTATGTATACCATGTTTTTTATATCTGCTCATGCATCATTGGGATTTGTGTTATTTCCAGATTTTGTTTATTGCCAATAGTATTGTAATGAACTTAGGTGTCTGCATCACTGTCGCTGTCACTGTCCTCCCGTTGTTCATCGATTTGCTTGAGCAGGCACCAGTAACGTCTCACAACAAATTGTGAGACTTATTGTTGCTGTTTTTGGCATATTCGAATATGTCACGGGTAGCTTGCCAGGCTTTACCAAGCAGGCGAGATACTCTCAGTAGCTTGCCAGGCTCTCTGAGAGGGGCGGAGGAATCGAACCCGGGTCGGCTGCGTGCAAGGCAAACACCCTGCCCTCTGTACTATCGCTCCAGCCCAGATGTCTGCATACCTTTTCAGATTAGTGTTTTCATGTTCTTGGAATAGATACCTAACAATGGAATTTCTGGGTAATATCGTAACTTTGTTTTTAATTTTTGAGACATCCCCACATTGTTTTCCTAGAGACTGAACCAGCTTACATCCCACCAGCAGTGTCACTTTCAATCTGCCTCCCTGCCTAAACTCATTGTTTCTATCTTTTTTGATGTATGCGCTTCTCATTTGATGAGTTGATACCTCGTTTTGAACTTCAAGAACCCAGAAAATGACCAGCCAGTTAAAAGCACTTACCTAACAAGTGCAAAACCGTAATTTCAAATCTGGTTCTGTCGCGTATGTGGAGACTACTTAGATGACCCCATTGTCTAAGATTCCCTGAAAGTATACTCACCTTCTTTAGAAACTAACATAACCTGCATTCTAAACAGGCACAACACCAACCAAGAAAAACATGTGGCCCATTTAGTTGACCTACACACTAAAGTAATTCCCGGTACTATAGGACTTGCATTGTACAAGGTGATGTGGATCAGGACTGACTTACAAATTTTCGTGCTTGGGTTTCAGTTATACAATGTTCAAGTACCCATCCCAACACCAGTGCCCATTCTCCACCACCAATGATCCCAGTAGCCCTCCCACCCCCAAACACCATACCCTCCCACCCCACGCTGCCTCTGTTGCAGGACATTCCCTTTTGCTCTCTCTTTCCTTTACAGTGTTGTAGTTTGCAATAGAGGTATTAAGTGGCCATCCTGTTCCATCTATAGTCTACTTTCAGCACGCATCTCGCAACCTGAGCAAGTCCTGCAAACATCCTTTACTTGGTGTTCCCTTCTCTATCTGAGCTGCCTTTTCCCCCCAGCATGTGCTGCTGGCTTCCAAGCCGTGGAGAAGACCCCCTGGTACTTAACTATTCTTGGGTGTCCAACTCCCATTCTGTTACTTTATAGTCCCCAGATGCGTGCAGTCTTTCTCTGTCTGACCCTCTCTTTCTGGCTTATTTCACTTAGCATGATACTTTCCATGTAGAACCACTTGTATGTAAATTTCATGACTTCATCTTTTCTAACAGGTGCATAGTATTCCATTGTGTAGATGTACCAGTTTCTTTAACCAGTCATCTGTTCTCGGGCACTCGAGTTTTTTCCAAATTTTGGCTATTGTGAACAGTGCAGCAGTAAACATAGAAGTGCAGATGTCATTTCGACTGTACTTTTTTGCCTCTCAGGGATATATTCCCAGGAGTGGTATTGCTTGGTCAAATGGGAGCTCAATTTCTAATTTTTTAAGAATCGTCTATGCTGTTTTCCAAAAGGGCTGAAGCAGTTGGCAATCCCATCAGCAGTGAAAGAGGGTCCCTTTCTCACCACACCACGCCAACATCACTTGCTTTTGTTCTTTTGGGTGTGGGCCAGTCTCTGTGGTGTGAGATGATATCTCATTGTTGTTTTGATTTGCATCTCCCTGATGATTAGTGATGTAGAGCATCTTCTCATGTGTCTTTTTGCCATTCATATTTCTTCTTTGAGAAACTTTCTGTTCATTTTGTTGCCCCCATTTTTTGATGGGGTTGGATGTTTTCTTCCTGTGGAGTTCAACCAGTGCTATGTATATCCTTGATATCAACACCTTGTCGGATGAATATTGGGCAAATATACTTTCCCATTATGTAGACTTTCTTTGTATTTTGGTCACTGTTTCTTTTGAGGTACAGATGCTTCTTAGTTTAAGATAGTCCCATTTGTCAATCTCTGTTTTCACTTGCTTGGCCAGTGGCATGTCATCTTTGAAGATACTGTTAGCTTCAATGTCATGGAGGGTTTTGCCAATCTTGTCTTCAATGTACCTTATGGATTTTGGCCTGATGGTGAGGTCTTTAATCCATTTTGATCTGACTTTTATGCATGGTCTTCGGTCAAAGTCTAAGCCCATTTTTTTGCATGTGGTTGTCCGGTTATGCCAGCACAATTTTTTTTTAATTTTTATTAGTGAAACACCATGAGGTACAGTTGTAGATTTACAAATTTTTGTGCTTGGATTTCAATTATACAATGATCAAATACCCATCCCTTCACCAGTGCCCATTTTCCACCACCATGGAATATCCCTCCCACCCCCATCCCCCTCATCCCACCCTGCCTCTGTGGCAGGGCATTCCCTTTTGTTCTCTCTCTCCTTTTGGGTGTTGTGGTCTGCAAAAGAGGCATTGAGTGGCAAACATGTTCAGTCCATAGTCTACTTTCAACATGCATCTCCCCTCCTGGGAGGATCCTCCAAACACCCTTTATTTGGTGCTCTCTTCTCTATCTGGGCTGCCCTTTCCCCTAGAATGCCCAGCTGGCCTCTAAGCTATGGAGTAATCCTCCTGGTGCTGATCTCAGCTATTCTTGGGTATTAATATCATATTTTGTTATTTTATATCCCCCAGATGAATGCAATCTTTCTATGTCTATCCCTCTCTTTCTGACTCATTTCATTTAGCATGATACTTTCCATGTTGTACCACTTGTATGTAAATTTCATGACTTCATCTTTTCTAACAGCTACATAGTACTCCATTGTGTAGATGTACCAAAGTTTCTTTAACCAGTCATCTGTTCTTGGGCACTCAGGTTTCTTCCAGTTTCTGGCTATTGTAAAGAGTGCTGCAATGAACAAACAAGTGCAGATGTCACTTCGACTATACATTTTTGCCTCTCTGGGATATATTCCCAGGAGTGGTATTGCTGGGTCAAATGGGAGCTCAATTTCTAATTTTCTGAGAAACGTCTATACTGTTTTCCAAAAGGGCTGACCAAGTCGGCATTCCCACCAACAGTCAAGGAGTGTCCCTTT